CAAATGTATATTCAAGACAAACTACATAATTTTCCTATAATATATGTATAAATAGCCTTCCCCCTTATATTAGAATTAGCAATAATAAAAATTAACGACTTAAATAGCTTAATAATCATCTCTTTTTACTGAAAATAAGAAGTTTTAAATTTAAATAAAATGACATGCATGTAGGATAGGAGATGGTTGTTTTTCGTCGTACAATCAATATAAAAAAAAAAAAATAGCAATGATATAAGCATGATTCTTTTATATTATTTTTTTATATAATCTTTATATGTTATTAAATAAGTAAATATTCTCAATATCATATGTGTCAAATAAATAAAAAAATAATTATTTAAATAATACATAAAATTATATCAAAAATAATATAAAAAATAATATCAAAATCATTTTTTCATTAGAATACAGTAATCAACCGATCGTCAATAGATAATGGTCAACAGGGAGTTACGGAATGTCCACGGTCGAATCCTCATCCCAGAAAAAGATAGAATTCTCGAACTTGAATAAAGGAGACGGCCACTAATGATTTATTGGTCCGAGCGGATGAAACTCGATTTTTCTTAAATAAGATTTCAAGTTCGAGTTTTGTGAATAAAGAAATAGGTATTGGGAAAACTCCCCTCTTAACAGGGTATGACGTGGCTTGATTCCGAATTAGTCGAAACTTAACGTAGTTATTGGATATTGGAAAGTTAATACTAAAAAAAATAAAGGAGGCAGCCTCGGCCCAAGAGCTATTTTTGTTAAAGACAGGCAATTAAATGGGCTTTTATTGTCTATATGTCAATTGGGCTACTTCTGGCCTTAAATTGTCTTGAACTAGGTTGCATATTCAATGGACTCATGCAGTTGCATAAATTGGGATAAAATGTTGGACTGGGCTGGACTTTTAAAGCGTCCCTGGCTCCTCAACCATGTTTTAATCCTTTTTATTTATTTATTTTTTTTTTATAAATACTCCGTACAAATTTGGCTATGAAACACGTCATTTTTATTGCAGTTTTCTTTCATTGGATGCAAAACAACATTAGCCAAGGATGAAAGATTTCATTTTTAAGATGACAATCGCTATGTCTATTCAAAATTAATTGTCACAATTTAATATTTGCATGCAGTTGGCCGTCTCATTCACAATTAGTTATCACACTATTTCATATTTTAATATATAACAACGACCTGTTATAATTGAATAACAGGTCGAGGGGGTCAAATCTATTATAGTTAGCCGTTTCACTATTTTACTATTTAATTTTTTTTCACTTAGGTTAATAATTTATTAATTCGAATAAAAAAATTTTAATTTTTATTAAATAAAAAATTAAATTTATTAATTTTAAATTAATCAAAATTTAACATGACTTTTAAATTTTGTAAGGTTAATATTAAAAGAAATATATAAATATATATATATATATATATATATATATATATAAAAAAAAAAAGAAAGAATGTAATTTAAAAATTTGTCCATAATTAATTACAAATTTTATAATTAATAAAATTTAACCTTAACAAACCCAAAAAAAATCATCATTAGACTGCTTAATGCTTATGTTGTTTGTTGTAGGGCTGAATTTGAACAGGGCATTAGGCCCAATAGTTCGCTCTTAAGCTTTAGGGTTTGGGTGAGACAGTGGTTAGGGTTTCGAGTTTTACCACTTCCGTGAATTCCACCAATAAGCGACTTAATGGTCGTGCGTCCCATTTGAGGGGTAGAATGTTCACCGATCTGAAAATTTCAATGATTAACAACTAACTCATACTAACTTACTAACCATTACTCTTGTTAAAAAAAAAAAAAAAAAAGAAGAAAAAAAAAAGAAAGAGAAGATGAAGAAGAAGAAGTAGGGCTCAATTTGTCAAAGGAGTTGGCTGAGGGCATCAATTCTTGAACAGAACAGCCAATGAGTAACATATTGTCAAATGACGATTGTGTCCTTGAGTACAGTCCAGTGGTGACGTCCTGACGTAATGTGGCCAACTTTGGTTTTTGCCTTTTCGGCTAGGAGCACGTAGTGGTTTGACAAATATTGGTTTGTTTGCCTAGTTTAAATTATTCGTAACCATAATTAGGATTGATTTAATAGCTAAAAATTTAAAATTTTATATTTAAGTACTATGTCAGACAGCGACAAATTTGAGATGGTTTTCAAATTTATTATTAAATGTATTAAAAAAATTTATTTGTTTTTTTTATCTTTTTTGAGATGTTGTTCATTTTTCCTATCATTATTGAAGAATTAACATGATTTAATAAGTATATAAGGTTAAAGATTTAATATATATATATATTTCATGAACGATTTTTTTGATTGAACATTTAAAAAATGATTTTTAATTGAACGATTTTTTTAATTTAAGATGGAGAAATTGATAAACTTAGGAGGTTAATTGGACATTCTTTAAATCATGGAGAAAAATAAGGGTAGATTTTCATGATTTAAATTCTACTTTCTAGTAAAAAGAACATTATAACAAGAATTTGCCTAATGTGTGCGGTACATTAATTACTTATTTTTATTTATATATAAAAATAGAAAGTTAATTTGTATTGTTATTATTATGCAATTAATTATTTTTATTCAATTACATATTCATAATAAAAGTTAGTGTATATCAGTCTTTGATTTTTTTAAAAATATTAAAATTTTAACTTATATTTAAAAACTAAAATTTTAATTAAAAATTTTAAAAATCTATTTTATTAAATGTTAATATTTGATATGAAAAATGATAATATATTTTAATATAATTAATTTTTAAATCTAAATATTAATATTTAATAAGATAAATTTTAAAATTTTAAATTAAATTTTAATTAAACAAAACAATATAATTTAAAATTAAATTTCTCTTCTATAATATTATATATTTATTTATATATTTATACATTATCAGTCAAATTCATGCTGGCGTTTAGTGCGGCTGTGGGAGGGTGGAATTGTTTTTCACTTTTTCAACGGCGGAGAGTGGAAGGGTCAATAGCAACATGATACCAAGTAACTGGATCCGCGTTTGTTACTAGTCCGCATCACGCTTGATGATGATGCACATGATCGGTACCGTACATCAAGAGTGCAGTGGGCCCATCAATTTCAGCACCATCTAGAGCCCCAGGTGTCAAAACGACACCTATCGAACGCTCTAGGGGGTCCACCCGTCACATTGTGCGTGGCTGGATTGTAGGCTCTAGGGTGGGGCAGAGCGAAGGTGGGGGCCGACAATCACTCTCCCCGTGTGTGGTGCACTGCGTCCGAACCGCGTCATCCTCACTGGAATCATGCCTTGTGTTTATTAATGGACCAAATTGCCCTTGACTGTTGCCCGCCACCGTTTCACACACGTTTCTGCTTACCTCGCGTCAATGGCGAAGACTGACAGTGGCTGTTATCCACTGGTCTTTTTTTAATTTCTTAGGCAAAATCCTATTTTAGGTCCCTAAATTTATCTCAGATTTTTTATTAACTTCTTAAAGTTTTATTGAAATAAGTAAGTTCTTAAACTTACTAATTTAAGTAATTTAACTCTTTTTTCTTATGACAAACTTAATATTTGTTTGTAACTTATATAGATATAGATAAGCTCAATATCCACCACTTACTCAATGACTTGCTAATATCTTGTTTCTGCAAATAAGACATAAAAGACATAAATGGGCATTAAGTCCTCATAAAAAAAGAAAGTTAAATTGTTTAGATTACCAATTAAGTTTAAGGGCTTATTTACTTTAATAAAAATTTAAGAGTTTAATTGAGAATTTGATATAAGTTTGGAGGCTTAACGTAGACTTTTGCCTTTTTTTACAATTAATTGTTTTTTTATTTATGGTAGCTAAACCCAACTCATGCACACCTCAAAACAAATATCTCTCATAGCAATCTTAAGTAGGTATCCTTCACATTCACATGATCCATTCAAAAAAACTAGTTTCATTAGATGCTAACCCCTAGAGGCCAACCATGATCCTAGTTTATAAGACAATACTTCTTATCAATGGGTTTAACCCTTAAGATATGTTTGGTTAGGAAAAAAAAGTTTCTCACTTATAGGATTTTCTACATCTAATGCTTTAACAAAATGAGGGTAAAAGTGACATTTTTATCCTTTGTTTACCTTTATTTTTCCTGATATAATTCACAACTACTAAATTTTTCTTTCTACATTTTTTAAAAGGAAAAAAAGTTTTTCCCTAACTTCCTCTATGTGGAACTCACTGGACAAGTTTTCTATTAACTCTTCATAAATCAATTTTTATTAAACACAAAAATTAACACTCATGTGTCCTCTTATAGACCTAGGGTTTGCGAAGAGAGAAAATTTACCATCACTAGTGGT